ATCAAGGAGAGAAGCAACCTAGAACTAAGGAGAAACTTCCTGACAGTTAGAACAATTAACCAGTGGAACAACCTGCCTCCAGAAGCGGTGAATGCTCCAACACTGGAAGTTTTTAAGAAGAAACTGGACAGCCATTTGTCCGAAATGGTATAGGGTTACCTGCCTGAGCAGGGGGTTGGACTTGATGACCTCCAAGGTCTCTTCCAACTTTATTATTATTATTATTATTATTATTATTATTATTATTATTATTATTATTATTATTATTAGTCATGACACATCACATGATGCGCTGAGTTTGACACCCATGCTCTATACCACTGTTATGTGTGCATATGAGTAAGTGGGATAGCACATAATGGGACAAGATGTAATTGGGGAGAGGCAATACCTCAACCTGTCCTAATGCCACATAGGGCTTTAAAGGTCAAAAACAGCATATTGAATTGTATCTGGAAGTGAACTAATAATCAATGCAGATCATGGAGGTGTGTGTGTTCGCCTAAGGCAGGGGTGTCAAACTGCCGGCCTGCGGACCGGTTGCATCATACAGAGGCCGCACCCACACCAGCTCCGGCAATGCAAAAAAAGTCACAATATGTTGTGACATGTCACGTGATGCGGCGAGTTTGATACCCGTGTCTAAGGGCACACATAACACAATAACAGAATTGGAACGGACCTTGGAAGTCTTCTAGTCCAATCCCCTGCTCAAGCAGGAAACCGTATGCCATTTCAGATAGTTTCCTTTGTCTGAAAAGGTAACTTTATCATACCACTGCATTTTGCACCAGCTGAAGCTTTTAAATACTCTTCAAGGACAGCCTCATGTAGAGCATATTTAAGTACTTTATTTGGGAGGTGAGCAGAACTTCATGGTTTCTGAACAAATACAACTGGCACACAACAGAAATTTGTGTAAAGGCCCTCCTAGCCTGTATCTACTCCTCAAGCAGAAGTCTTGAAAGTAGAAAGAACCCCAGATTGCACACTGGGTCTGTCTGGACCAGTGCCACCCCATCTAGCACCAAATACCAGATCCTGAAGACCCAAAACAATTTAGTTTTATTGTTCCCCATTCAGTCTCGCAGCCTCCAGGCACCAAGACAAGACATCAACAGCACTGCTTAATTTACCAGGGTCAGAGATATATAATAATCCCATAGCAACAAATGATCTCACTGAGCAATTTCATGTAGATGTTAAATAGGAAGGGGGAAAGCTCTGAATTTTGCAAGGGTCATGGGCAGAGCCTTTCACTGCCAATCAATACCAACTAATGCTGGCCCCATAGGAAGAAAGAGAACCAGTCCAATATTGTGCCACCCCCAATAATTGAAGCTCATCCAGAAAGATACTATGATTAATGGTATTGAAAGTCGTTGAGAAGGCAAGAAGAGCCAGGATGGATGCCCTACCTCCACCTGATCCCATCAGAGATCATCCAAATCAATGTTGTTTCTGTATCCAGAAACACGTCCAGGTCTGGATCCTGACTGAACCTGCTGTGTGATCACCACCGCCATGAGTTTCCCTAAAACAGGGAGGTCTGACACTGGCTGGAGGTTGTCCTGTACAGTGGGATCCAGTGATGACTTATTTAGGAGGGGGCAAATCAACACTTCCTTAAGAGGTGAAGAAAAAAACCCATCTCAAGGATAAATTCACCCCAACAAAAACTCATTCACATATCACTCCCCCCCCAGCAGTCTTAGCCAATTATGGGGTGCATGAGTCTCATGAGCAAGTGGTCAAATGGATCCTTTCTACTTCCTCAGGGCCAACAGATTTGAACTGTTCCATATTGAATTATCATTGTTACATTGAGGGGGAATCCAATGAAATGTAATATAATAATAAACTATTACCATCTTTATTTCATTATAAAATAGTACTGTATTGAAACAATACTTATTCAAGAGGTATATCAGAAAGAACATGCAATGTAGGCTCTCAAATTGCTCCTAGAATTGATAGTTGTCTGTAAAAAAAAATCAACTTTGCATTCTAGCCACCAGTTCAATTCTCCAATATCTTTAGGGTCATATTCAAATCGTCAATATACCTAAAAATAATACTGCCCAAACTGGCAACAGTTTTGAGCCAGATACAACAACCTTGCCCTTGGATGCAGATATAAAATAAGCATTAATTCAAATAAGCTTAAATGAATCAGCACAGGTGTACTAGGAAAAATGGTGACTGAAGTTGGTACTACTGCATTACCACGTATAATTTTATATCAAACCTTGAAACAAAGAAACAATCTAAAACACTTAAGAGCATTGGTATATTTCAGCATATTTTATCTGAGCAAGGTTTCCTCAGGGTAAAAACTACATAAGGATTTATTTTTTTACCTGTATAAGTGATTAATATAAGGAGTTACACCCAATGAATTCATCCAATTTCTAAATGTTCTTTCTTCCTTACTTTCACCTACAGTACAAAGATGATAATTTAATTATATTCTGATTTTTGGTCTGTTTTTAAAACTATTGAATCCCAAATAGAAGGTATGATATCACAAAGCAGGAGAAAGAAATGCTATCATAAAGTGGAAAGATATATAAATGGGTGAAGAATAAACAAATCTGAATTAAATCAAACTATAAAAAGGATACTTACTGTGCAAAAATACTTAGAGCACAGTAATAGCAAAAAAAGACCATCAAATTGCATGTTTGAGGTCTATATGACTACATCTAGTCAAAGCCCATTTCAGCTGCCTATAATACTGGCCAATAGGATTGGTCACTGGCACAGTTCAGGAAAAATCTATATTTTCTTTTGCAGCCTTCATTATTTGACATTTCTTCACAATGTACCAGTTCTCATTAAAATCATGCATTAACTGTGTCATTATTTCATATATATATGTTGAGAAATATATATATGTGAAATGTTATCCAATTGCTTATTCACTAACCTTATTATATAAATTGGCACTATAATCCCTTTTGGGATTAATTATTAAGGTTTGTTTCAAAAGGTATTTCAATCTGTAACTGAAATATATTCTGAATACTTCAGAGTGAATTAACATGCTTCCAAGAAAATTGGTTATCGAAAGAAGGGATGCTAAAGAGTACATTTGGCAAATTCACAATAAAAATTAAAACTTCATGCTAAATAATGCAGAAAATAACATGCAAGCTGAAAAAAATCAATTCTGACTGAAAGAACTGTGAAAGTAAAAAAAAGGTTACATTTAATATGCCACTCTAAAATCAAATTCTTAAACTTCTTCATTACCACCCACCATCACTATAACTTTCATTCTTGTTCACTGTTTAATAGGTACCTTCTCAAGAATATATGCGTTTGCTTTCTGTGGGATAGATATGAATAATAGATAACCAGCACAAACTGGAACATGGTAATAACATGCCTTGTGGCACTTTTCTTCTGTAATCGCAATGTTGGGCAGCAATTGGCATACATAGAGATCAGAAACGGATATGATCAAACATGCTGATTATTTTTCATTTTCTCAAAATAGAAAAACGCTGAATATTTAATTTTGGTCATCAAAATAGGACTAACTTCAAATTCATTTTGCAAGGAAAATAAATCTATCCATCTTCAGTCATGACTGTATTGAGCATAAGATATATTTCTCCATTGGATTTTATAGCAAGCAACTCTCAGTACTGCCAATCAAAACACAATTCATTTTGTCTATCTTTTACTCTTATTGTATTACTTCTAATATTTGAATATTTTTATAATAAAATTAAAATGGAATTACAGGTAGTCCTCAAACTATCCCTGCATGGCCAGAGATATTTCCAAGTTAAGACAGCACTTGAACCAATGGTAGTTACAACCAGTCCTTGGAGTTCCAGCCATCCCAGCAACCCCATTGTCACATGATGTCAACCTGGGTAATTGGCAACCAGTTCACCATTACAACTGCTTGCCAAGCTTCCTGAAATCATGTCATCATCTGCAATCTTTCCTGCTGGTTTTCCCAGAAAGTCAAGTCACTGGGTGTCACCCACCCACACATCCTCCCCCAGCCCCATTGCACGTGTACTGGCTGGCACCCTCTCAACTGTGTGGCACCTCTTGGGCACTCTTGCAGACCTGAACAACACCTCTCTTGTACCCTCCCAGACCTGTACCCTGCTTCTTGCCATAGCCATACTGACCTGCATGGTGCCTCTCACGCATCCCCTCACAACCTTGCTCCATCAGTTCTGGCAACCTGTGCTCTGCTGGCCCTGCCACTCCCAGTTGATATTTGCTGTTTTTTCCTCCTGCTGCTGAGGAGGCCAGTAGAGTGCAGGGTGGCAGAGTTGGCAGAGTGTTGGTGGCCAAAATTATAGAGATGGGGGGAGACAGGCAGCTGAATGGAGTTCAAAAGGAGGCAGTCTTACCCATGCTTACTGAGGCTCAGAGCTGGGAAGTACCAACCCAGCAATGGTTTGGATTGGGATGGGTCCTTGCCTAAGGACTGGGTAGGATTTGTTTAATGATGGCAATGGGTACTAAGAGGATTACTGTGGCTAAGCAATCACGTGATATCACATTTTTTGACCAAATTGCTTAGTGATGGAAACTGTGATCCAAATTCTGGTTAACTGAGGACTACCTGTAAAACTATAAGAACAGCACCTAATCTCAGCCTTATCACACAAAATAGGACTTATCTGATGGGATGGCACAAATTATATCAGCTTAAATTTCTGCCACGGACTGCAGATATGTGTATCAGCACAGCTGTGAGGGGAAAGCCCTTGTGTTTTCAAGAATTATCCAGCAACCATTTCAATATGCTATGCTAAAAGGAATATAGAATGCCATATTATTCTGTCTGTCTTTGAAATGTTTCCAATCCAGTTCATAGTGATAACACTACTAGCAACTTCTAACTTTATTTCAACTGTGATAATTACTATAAATCTTAAAAAAACTATGTTTATTTTTTTATATTTGCCTTGTTTTTTTCTCCATAATTTTCTTTTATAAGCCTAAGGCAAAAACTGTCTTGGATACATGCCTTGAACAAATAGTTGAATTTAGGGAACAGAATTTTCACTCTTAACAACTTGATCTTTTCATTCACATTTGTGAGGTTTCATATCATGACTCCCAAGAACTCGATTACGTAATCAAGTAAAGTTAAGCTGGCATTTTATATGACTTTAAAATAAATGTCTAATACTAATATTTTTACACAGCTGTAATGGCATATTAAAAGAAAAACAACAGGTCATAAAAGCAGGACAGTTACAAAGAGGGCAGTAATAACAGTAATAGAATGAAAGGGAAAACAGATTTCAAACTATACTTTGACAAGCCAAAAGCCCTCGACTAAATACAGTACCTACAGTAGGAGGAGTCAAATCTGCATTTTTGAAGAAAGATTGGAAAGTTATGAAACACAAGATTATGAGCACTAGCTTAATTTCACTATTTGAGTGTGCTTAACTCCTAAAAAACACTTTAAGATCCAAGATCTTGATGTGATTGGAACTCCTCCCCATCCACATACCCTATCTCCAGAAATAGGTATTTCTTACATTCAAAAAAGCAAACTTCAATTATACAGGTAGTCCTTCCCTTATGACAATTGAGACCAAAATTTCCATTGCTAAGCAACAGAATTATTAAGTGAGCTTTGCCCCTTTTTACATCCTTTTAGCCAGTTGTTAAGTGAATCACTGCAACTAAGTTAGTAATTTGGTGGTTAAGTAAATCTCACCTCCCCATTGACTTTGTGAGGTCATATGAGCCCCGAATACTGCAACTATCATAAATACATGTCAGTTGCCAAGTGTCCAAATTTCTATCACATGATCACGGGGATGCTGCAATTGTCATAAGTGTAAAAAACAATCATAAATCACTTTTTTAGTGCCATTGTAACTTCAAATGGTCACTAAAAGAATGATTGTAAGTTGAGGACTACCTGAATTGGGGAAATCTTTTCCATTCTTAACTTTTGCAATTAGATTTATAAGTGTTTGTGTGTGACTCCAAATTCATGTAAAATTATATGGGTGGGAGCATGGTTGGAGAAAACACTGTGAACTAAACTTTCAAATGAAATAATATCATTTATGTTAGAGAACAAGGGACTTGATGTTAGAGAAACTTTTCACAGACAAGATGGAGTTGTTACTGATACAGAAGGTGGACTTCAGGATTTGGGGAAAATGCCTGCTCTGGAAAAGTGTACATTTTCCATTAAGGATCAGATTTGCAATCTGGGAGTCCCTTTTGAATCCAGCATTAAATCCTGGACCATTAATAAAATCAAAATATGCTTTTATTGACTTTGGTTGATAAATCATGTCCATAAGTGAAGAAGAAAAGCTTGTACACTGACAACCAAAGACTGCAGTTGTCTTTATGGAATGGTTTTGAAGACAATCCAGAAACTCAGCTGGCTAGAATTTGGCAATACTTCACTCTCCTTAGGATTTAGAAAGAAGCTCAAATCATAGTCAAATCTTTTAATCTGGTTTAGCATTTGTTTTAACTAAACTGTTGCTGTTTTAATTGTATTGCTCTAAGCTGTCCTAAGCCATTAAGGAAGAGGCAGCAGGCAAGTACACTATTAAACAAACAGGAAACAATATCCCCATTAGATTATTTAAATTAAAAAACAATAAACAACCAAAGGCAAATATTTCTCTAATATCCCAATTAATATGTGTTGAAGTTACTTACCTTCTAATAAATTGAAATCATAAGAATTGCTTTTAGGCTTCTGTAGGGCAGGGTAAGTATTAAAGAGGTTTGCAACAAAGGCTATATTAAGTTTAGGGTTGCCTGCAACGACATCTGTAGGAGTCACAAACTGTTTGCAACCCAATTTATCTGCTTGTTGAAGCATATATTCAGCCCTCCTCAGATCATTTGGTTCCTGGGGAAAAATAAATTGCAAATTTAAAATAAAATATATGCACCCAAGTTTGCATTAGACATAATATTCTAGTTACAGAAGCAAACCAGAAATCCTGGTTTTGCAGGATTCCTGATTGCATTTAAATGCATTTAGAATCTGCTTTGGATCAGTTATAGTAGTTCACCATACTCTTCCCTCAGAAGATCTAAAGGAAACAATTGTTTTCATTAAACACAAAATAACATTCTCAGAGGTTTCTTATATAATCTCCAAGAACAGACTGACTAGGCAAACACAATACGGTAATCAAGAATATATTATTATGAAAAAAGAAAAGCAGCCTATACAATGGTAAAAAGGGTAACATGCTTTGCTGTTATATTCCTAGAAGAGTTCTTCTGAAAATACTATCTGTTTTGTTTTCCTTTATTTCAGATATGTCAAACTTGCGACATCACGTGATGTCGCATGATGTATTGGAGCTTTTTCCCCATTGCCAGCAATGGGGTGGGCATGGTTTTCTTGTGACACCTCCGGCCCATGGGCCGGCAGTTTGACACCCCTGCGTTTATTTTCTCATTTTCTACTTGTTAAGGGACTGTTAAGATTTTACAAATGTTTCAAAGCAGGTGCCTCTAAACGTATGGAAACACATTCAAAGCATAATGTTTGAATAAGCAGCCATATCTTTTTCAGATTTACTTGTCTGTTTGGGAAATTTTTCAGTCTCAGAGCTTGAAGCCAGATTAGATCAGATCTGAATAGTCAGGATTATCTAAGACTATGTAATGGTAAAAAAGTCATAATTGGCTCTACCATATAAACTTGAGACAAAAATAAATTGAAATAAATCTTCAACTGTATATTTGAAGCATATTCTATCGATTTTCAAAGTATCTCCCAACATTAAGAGTCATAATTAAACTATCACATCAGCTGGCTGGATTATAACTTTTTTTAACAGTTCATCAGATCATACAAAACTATTCTTTTTTAAAAAAGGATTGAGTTAAAAGTATCATTGTTAATTATCCATTCAATCATACTGTTTAATTATCTATTCAAGAAATCTGTTAGATGTGTTTAGTAGAAATGCTATAACTTGGTTCTCCAACCTAGCCAGCGTTTGTAATCTGAAAGGTTTAATGGAACACTTACATTAAAGCCTGAAAGATCAATCACAATGGCTGTTTTTCCATTGTTGCCTTGTTTGGGTGCAATTTGATTCAAAAGATGATAGTAAGCTTTTGAGTCCTGAAATGAACAATGTAAATTTTAAACAAAAATTATTCATGTACACTGATCTGATGCTGAATTACTGGAATCGTTATACTAATATGCTGCTGTCATATTCTATATGTGTTCTGTATAGAACATAGCTTGTTACTGAATTTTCATCTCTCTCTCGGAGGATACCCTTCTGAAAAAGACAAAAGTATAGGATTATACTCAGGATGTATCTGCAGATTTATAGCAATAAAAAGGTGCCTGGATAAACTGCTAAAAAAATACAGGAGTTGATCTTGATGGAGAGCATCATCAAGTGTTACTGGCTCACAACAGAGACTTTGCAGAACCAGAAGAACTCCTCAGCTTAAAGTTCAGCTTATACATGAATTGAATCTCTATATACAGGTATCTAGGCTCACTTGTTTTCCTCTGGATCCAAAGTTCTAAACAATTCCAGTTGCAACTGTCCCACTTTTCTGGATACCAGAGCTTTTGGGAATTGTACTACATACAAGTTTAATAATATAATAAAAAGTAAGGAAATTATTTATGTTATTTCCTTATTTTATGTTTTAGGTATTAATTTGGTTCCATAATTCTTGATTCTAGAAATGATATTTTTCTTATAATCATAAGACTTAATTTTATATGCATTATTCTTCTACAAGTTTTATAAATGGCTTTTTGAGACCATGGAATTCCTTATCTGTCAGTCAAGTTTTATATACTCCATTCCAATAGAACTACACCCAGCCTCCTGGAGAAGACATTAAACCACTTATTAGCACACCTTTATTTATTTAAGAATTGGTCTTTCATAACTTGGCGATGTTTGGCAATAGTATGTTAGGTTCAAAATATTTCAATTAGTGTACTTTTTATTAAAACGCAACAGTGGAATAATTTATGAAAACTTTGATTAGTTCCATTTTTAAAATTCAGATTGTAATAATTGCTTTGTTTATTACAGTTTAAGTAAGATACCTTAATGTCTTGACCAAAGTTGCTTATCTTCTTCCACCCAGCATTATTCAAATGGTAGTTAACCCAGCGTAGCAGAAGTTCTTCTGGAGACAATTTTATTAATTGTTCCAATTCTTCCCCATCATTTAGCAAACCAATAAGAGCTGGAAAAGGTTTTCAATAAATATTATTCTGGAACTTCAAAAGAAAAACAAAATATGTTTAAGCTACAGAATTTATTATTCCTGATGAGTGTTTAAAATTCTCACCTTCGTTTCTGGAAATCTCTATATCAGAAAAAAGACCAACTTTAATAATTTGCCATAATAATCCTAACACCAAATGTGGCTTTCCATCTATTAGATCTTGTGATCCAATGTTAACTACCGTACAACCAATAGCTGATGCAGAATTTAGTGCTAGATCTAGATTTTCCTAAAAACAAAGCAAAAAAAAAAGAGGAAGAAACAATGTAAAATGAACAGACTAAGAAAGCATTTCATAAATCAGCTGACGTGAACTTTTTAGCATATTTAAAACATTGAAAATCAGCATTTAATAAGTTATTCTATAATATTAAGTATTTAATTTATTAATTTATATTTATTCTTTTAGTAACTTAACAATATAAATGTTACCATCATAACTCAGAATATACCTGTACTAGGATTTTCTAAAAATTGCTATATAACTATGATATCAAAATAGATATCATAAGAAAGATGTAAGAAAAATGGAGGTCTGAAAGCTAAATAAGGCCTTTTGAATCAGAGATGAATACACACACATACATAAAATGTTTTGAATGGAAAAATATATGCTGAAACAAAAGGTTGTTTGGTAGGGGGAAATGTAAAATTGGAGGTAGTTAATAGGCATAGCAAAACTAGAACAATTTGAATTGATATGTTCTACAAACATGTTACAAATGTATTACTAATATCACTCTGTGCCAAATTATGTACTAGAAATGAAAAACTGAGTCATTAGCTTTGCAAAAAAATTTCCAGAAAGCTTCCTGAAACTGTTCTACTCAAAGGCTCATATATTATGGATTTACTACAACAATGCAGTATATATAGAAAGTTTAAATAACTAGAAATATTACAATTGATTGCCTTCTTTTTATATGCATTTTTCCATCTATAACCAGAAGAGAGAAAAAAATCCCCAAATACAAAAATAAAATATAAGAAATATAAGAAAGCAGAAACAAAGATAAAGAAAATACAGAAAAATATTGAAAGAAATATTGAAAGTAAAATGTATGTTCAATACTCTTAAATATAATTGAAACCCAGGTCTCAAACAACAAATTAAACTTTGGCTAACTGGAGTCATATTGATCAAACTTTATGCAATAAAAAGCTATTTCCTATATTGAAAGTATTTTTTATTCTATTACTTCCCACTGGAGTAAAATTGTCCAGAGTTGCCTCAGACATAAGATAAGAAGACATATAAATTTAATAAATAAAACAAAATAATAAGTAAAACAATCTTCTTAGCTACACCCCATGAAGGATAAATCTCCTTGTTCAGAGTCTAAAATAACTAAAATGTCTTCAATGTATAATATCTACAAAACATAAAATCTCTGTCATTTCTAAAATGGAGATATGGAGATTGGAATCTAACCACCTATTTTTGGAGTGCCCAATAAACATGAAAGAGACTCCTCTAGAATTAATTGCATTCTGAGATCACAGAACACTTAATGTGACATTTTTAAAATTCTAACATTGGTTTGTTGTCACTCAGTGCAGGTTTTTTTATATGTATCTTAGTACAATTTTTCAGTTGCAGATTTAGATTAATTATATAATCAATTTCTGTCAATTTTAATCATTTAGGAGTTTCAGATTTTCAGTTTCACACATCAGGCCCAAATTGTAAAATTAAAATACATTTCAATCAGATGTGGTATATTGCAACTTAGCAGTATTAAGCCAACCAAATTCTTTTAAATGTTTTAAAATAATAATTAGCTACATGCTAATTAGGTATATAGGATTAATACTATTCTTGCTCAAAATTTTTGGCTTGGGCAAGAAATTTTCAAGTTTGCATTTGCATCATAGTGTAATTTTACATAAGAGCTACGATCAAATTTTAATCTCCTTCCCAAACATCATCCATATATGTCTTGCAGCTTACAATTTGCCTTGTTCATCTTCTTAATTGCCCTTGAACTAGCTAGATTTTGACTATGGTTTACTTACTGATCTAGTGAATGCAGTAAGCTTCTTCTTATTAATTGCTCTTTCATCAATTGTATCTGGCTGAGATAAATTAACCATTTTGCTTGAAAATAAAGAAAAATAATTGTTAGCTTAATCTGAAAAAAATAGTGTGAGTGATTTAAAAGATTGGCAGATTAAAATTATCCATAAATGTGAACAAATTAAATAGCAAAACATTTAATAGAATTACAGAATATGGAAACTTATGGAATGAGTATTTTGTTTCCAGAAGTGGAATAATGTAAGTAACATGCATAGCTATAATTCATTTAGTTTTTTCATATACTGTTTTCAACTGTTATTAACTGAAGAATTTGCTTAGAACGTACTACAGACAGAGGAAGAGGCATAAGCATATTCATGTAACATACATTTCCTCCCTGCTAAGATGTAAAATAGCAGAACTGTCTTTGACTTAGCATGGAGAATGAAGACAATAGCACTTAGAAAACAGCACCATGCTAGAAACAATTAGCTTAAGTTTGATTTTCAAATGCTTATACTTGGATAATTTCTGGGATTAGTATTAAAGCATTCAATATACAACCAAGGCTACTGTTCATTCTTATCCAAGGTGGATATGAATGGTAGGGGAGGTAAGGGAGAATGGACATTTCCTTTGTAAAATTCCTCAATGAGACTGCTAATAGCAATGCAGAAGCAGCGATTATGAAGCATACCATGACTGGAGAATTTGCCTAATGACAACAATTGGACTTGAAAGGACTGCCTTCATAAGTCAGGGCAGTCACATGACATTGCATTTTATGACTGTGCCGCTTAGCAGAATTCCAAATGCCAATTAATATTCATAAGCGAGGACTACCAGTATATGGTTTAATTTTATTGATTTCAATGAATTCAAAATTTGCTTAACTTTCCAACTAAAATAAATAGGGCTAATAGTATCAAAATTAAGCAATGTTAATGTCTTAAGAACTCACCAGCCAGTATTTTGATAAATATTTTTTAAAAACTGAACATACCAAAGAAGGATACCATCAGCAAGTGAATTAAAAAGGCTATTATTTGATGGATCCATAGGGAGACAATGTTTGCAGTCAGGGTCATCTTTAAGAGCTTTATTTATCCAGTTAACAAATGCAACCTTGTCTTCTTCTGGAAAATACAAGAGGAAAATATATTTTAAGAGCAGTCTAGCAATACATGTACCACAGACTCAACCTTGCTGTCTTTGCACACTTGTAAAAGCAATCCTAATAGGGAATACTATGTTATATATCCTTAGTAATCATTGAAAATAGGACATTAAATTGTGTCAATGTGAATACTTTTCTTTGTGGAGTATGATGGATATAAAACAAATATTTAGATATGAGATATATAAAGGTATTTAAATATGAGATATATAAAGATGAGAAAATTTTGATTTTTTTGAATATCAAGGTCCAATTCTCTTTGCTTAAGCTCTGCCAAAACTTTTAACTAGACTTCTTCATTTAGAGGTTATAGCCATTATAAGAATAATAAGAAAAACTGAAGTTTATATGATTTTTCAAAAAGATGGTAAAAATATCCAATAGTGTACAATGAACCAATGATTCACCCTAGCATTTCAATTGGCAAAATTTCAGCCTAGCCTCAGAAATGACATAACCAAGTTCCAAATAGGAGAGTGCATTTATGGTTTATCAAGGGACATGGAGAACAGCCTTTAAAAAGTTGGACTGAATTACTTCCAAGGTAGAAGGTCCATATAGCTGCAAAAAAATTCTATGTAACATGACTGCAGTCCCATAAAAGTATTCTTATGCAGCAATAGTATCGGTTCAATAAGATGATGGTCAATGGAAGAAGAAGCTAATTTTCTTCACAATCTAATACGTTATTAGGAATTGTTAGATACTATACTGTTTTATTCTTACAGGTAGTCCTTGACTTATGACCAGTCACTTAACAATCATTCAGACTTACAATGGGTCTCCCTGGGTACTCGCTACCCAGTTCTAATATTCCAATCACTGGGTCTCTCTCTATGGTCATATGATTACATGTCAGATACTTGGCAATTAATCCCTATTTATTATCATTTGCAGAATCTCGCAGTCATGTGTCTACATTTTACAATGGTTTTGCTGAAAACAAGCATTTACTTTCGGTTTTTGAGAAAGCCAACCCATAGTGAATCATTAGTTCAGTTAAAGATCGTGGCATTCACTTAACAACCACTGCAAAATATTGTAAAATTGGGTCAGTCATGTGGACTAGGTTAGGGACAGATCATATTGGAGAAAATCTACTTATGTAGTCATTAAGAGTTGGCATGATATGATGGCATATCAACAATCAATCCAAATTAAAAGGCAGTGGGGCCTCTACCCTGGCTGGGTAATTACAATTTCAGTGAGATGTCCCCAGGAGGAACATCTCACTCTCAAAAGCTGCTGAAATGGATAAAATCTATGTTCTTCATTTTTCAGTCATTGTGCAAGAAAGGAAGGAGACTGTCATGATTATGGAAATATTAGCTCCAGTGGGAGATGGAACTGTTGAATAAGGAACTAGTGAGTCAATAGGGCACTAGAGGACAAAAGTTTATTTATTTTGAGCAGGTCATTCTTTAATTATAAGAACTGCATAAATCTTAATCTTGGCATTACATTCAAAAAAAGGTTTCTTTGAACAATACTATTTTGTTACCTGAATAAGAATGCTGAGTTCCCTCACTAGAACTGGATGATGTTCCTCCAATTGCAGTAATTCCCAGTTTCTTGTTTATGGATTTTCGAAATGATTTGCTAATATCTTTACTTTTCAGTTCCTGAATAACCTAGAACAAAACAACATCAAATAGAACAGAAAATCATCAAAGAGCAGCCATGTCAAAACAGTAGTATATTTGCTAACTTTTTTTTTCCTGTTTTCTTAGCACATCTACTTAATTGTTCCAACTAACTGAAGCATGGAAGTTATACCATAAAGTAAATCAATTATCTGGAGAAGGGGTGGGAGAGAGAAAAGGAACAAATCAAGGACATTTATAATTCTTTATTATTTAATTCATTCATATTTGATCTTTTTAGACTATAAGAAAACTAAAATATTTTGGATATATATCTATAAAGAATATACTTTTACACTTATACCAATAAAAAAAATCAACAGCTTCTAATGCAGCCTCTAATTGAATAAGAAGCCCAAAAATACAAAATAAGAAAGCTATCTGTTAAGGAGGTCTGTACCTCTTTCCAGAATCTTATGGCAGGGCTTTTTTCACAGACTACCACTTTTAGGATATGGCAATATTCTAGTACCACCAGTCATCTAGCAAGGTATCAAAAACTTGATGATCGAAAAAAAGGAAAAAAGTGATAAAGTACAGGTAGTCCTCGACTTACAACAGTTTGCTTAGTGACTGTTCGATGTTATAATGGCATTGAAAAAAGTGACTTAAGACCATTTTTCACAGTTATGACTGTTGCAGCATCCCCAGGGTCATGTGATTTACATTCGGATGCTTGGCAACTGATTTATACTTATGACGGTCATAGTGTCCCAGGGTCATGTGATCACTTTTTGCAACTTTTTGACAAGTGAAGTCAATGGCCGGGGGGTGGCCAGCTCAACATTGCTCAGGTCGCAGGGCTCCTGTGGGGGGTGCGGGTGGGGCTGTGGGGGGATCCATGGGTCTCTGATGGAGGGAGGTGGGACTGGGGTAGGTGCCAGAGCATGATCCACTAAAGGAGCCTCACCGTCCCTCTTGGGCTGCGTGGGGGACTCCCGGACAGTGGCATGGGCTGCCCAGAGTCCTGGGCAGCGGAAGGCAAGCGCCCAGCCCGGCCCTTGAGCTCTCGGGCACCAGGACCCTGCAGCCCAACCCACTCCAGCCCCACTTCCCTGAGGGGGCTCTTGGCTGGGCTTACCTCCTCATCAGGGCTGCTGCTACTGATGTGTCCACTCTCCTTGGGCAGGTTGCTCATGGTGGGTGCAGGAGGGCAAAGTGCTTGGGTCAGAGGGAGGCCCACTTCCTCTTCATGTGAAGACACCAAGCTTTGTAACCAAAACATCCTTAGCGATAGGATGGGAGACCCTCAGGATAGGCCAGGAGAAGGGGGCAAGGGGATGGCGAAAGGGCAGCAGGTCTGCTGGTGGCCAAGTGCTAAGGCAGGACTTCCCTCAGACCCCCCTTCTCTCTCATTCCAATCTCCCTCCTTCCTTCCTTCCTTGCTCCCTCCATCTCTACCCTCCCTCTTTCCCTGCCTCCCTGCTTCTCATTCCGATTTCCTTCCTTCCTTCCTTGCTCCCTCCATCTCTACCTTCCCTCTTTCCCTGCCTCCCTGCTTCTCATTCCGATTTCATTCCTTCCTTCCTTCCCTCCCTCTCATTGTCCCTTCCTTCCTTCTCATTGTCCCTTCCTTCCTTCTTTCCCTCCCTCCCTCCCTCTCATTGTCCCATCCTTCCTTCTTTCATTCACTCCCTCTCATTGTCAATTCCTTTCTTCCCTGCCTCCCTTTCTCATTCCCATCTTCTTCCTTCCTCCCTCCGTGCCCAGGAAGGGACAAGGGGGAGGGAAGTCTGCCAGAGCGGCTGGCGGCCATGCTGCCAGTGGCCATGGCTTGAAAGGCCACTGTAAATTCCTGGACAAGAGCTGCACAGCCTTAAGAGCAGAGTGGCAGGAAGATATTTGCGATGAGGGAGGGAGAAAAACAGGCAAGAAACACAGCGGGGGAAGGATCCCCCTCTGCGAGGAATGAAGAAAGGCAGCATCCCCTGAAGGAGACCAGCAAATTGCCCTCTCCCACTTCACACACCTGGCTCTGTAAGCTCTGGGGGAGGGGACGGAGTAAGTCCACGTTACTTGTGCTATGCCACCCAGACCTCAGCCTGCTTGGTTTTGGCAGGCAGCGGCACACTCTCCTCACCACACGGAGAGACTGGGCCGGGCGAGGCAAAGCTGGCAAGAAGCCAAATCTGCTTGGGTGTGCACAGAAGAGGCAGCTGGCACCTGGCGTCCTGGGTGACTGTTTTTTCCTGCTGGCTGTGTTCTGAGCGCTTCNCTTCCCTTTCACCCAGGACGCTAGATGCCATGCGCTCGCCGCCTCTTCTGCTTCTCGCCAGTTTCGCCTTGCCCGGCCCAGCCTCTCCGCACAGTGTTTGTTTCATATATAATTACTTAATACTAATCCAGTTATATTCAGGTAAACATATAACATAAGATATTAGCTTGCTTACTGAGACAAATTCTTCAAAATTGATTTTGCCATCCTTGTTACTATCTGTGACTGCTATAATTTTTTCCACAATTTCACGAACTTTATAGCCAGGTAAGGGAAGACTTGCTTCTTTGAAAAGATCTTGAAGTTCATAATCACTGACATATCCACTATTGTCAATGTCTACAAATTAAAAAACAAAACAAAAGTGCTTTGTTACTATTGATATTTCAATTGCTGTTTTAAAATAATACATTTTTATTTTTTTGTTATTGAATTCAGGCTATTTTTAGTAATAGATAATATATATTTTGCTGAACTATGATCATTTCAAATATTAACTGAGAACCTATTCATATTTTTAGTGGTCTTCTGTGGCCTGTGTGTGTTTTTGTGTGGTTATTGTTATTTAAGACTTTCTCATCACTACGTCTTATGTTCATTCATTCATTCCTTGCTTTCTTTTGCTTTCAGCACATTTAAGTAACCCAAGGTTGCTAGATAATTGTCTTTCTTCTAACCTTATCCCACTATATACTTTCACTTTTCTGATTCTATTCCTTGTTTCCGAGATGAAGTCTTGTTAACTTACTTTGTTAATATCCTTTAGTCAGCTTCTTTGTAACCTGACTATTTAACCATATTGGCTCTTTAGACGTCTCCTAGTTTTCTTCTTCATTAATATTTTCTTACATTGCACTATCCTTAATTTCCTTTTCAAGGTGTTTCAGCCAATTACAGTATCTTTAAGATTTTCTTTTCATATTATCTTTTATCATTTCCATTAGTTTACTGTATTAATATTGGCCATTTTAAAAACCATGATTTCAGGTGACATTTTGTTTCAAGTTCTTGTAAATCAAAAAGTCTTAACAATGAAGGTCATTGCATCCAAACTTACCCTTATTTAGTATCTTTAATGTTTAGTAAGAGACAAATTTAAGGTAGTAAATTGCCCTACCACCCACCACAATTTTGTCTTTGGAAAGAGAAAATTACCATCATCATGAGTAAAAAAATTATCAGGCATTTTATGTTTGACAAAATTAGTCTTTCAACTCATATTTGTTTGTTAGTCGACTGCAGTTCAGCGTTTAACACAATCATTCTCCAGCATCTAGTAGAAAAACTGGACCTTTTAGGCTTAAACACTCCTTTGTGCAACTGGATTCTTGATTTTCTTACCAAAAGGCCCCAATATGTGTGAGTTGGAACAAATACCTCTAATACCATTTTCTTGACCACAGGTTCTCCTCAGGGCTGCGTCCTAACTCCGCTGCTGTTCGCCCTGTTGACCCATGACTGTTGTGCTAGGTTTGCCACCAATCATATTGTGAAGTTCGCAGATGATACAACAGTAGTGGGCCTTATTCACGATGACAATGAGGGTGCTTACCGCAAGGAGATTGAGAGGTTGGTGAATTGGTGTAAGGAAAACAGCCTAGTTTTAAATACTTGAAAAATGAAAGAGATCAATGTCGATTTCAGAAAAGGCAGGCACAGCCACACTTCTCTGTGCATTAATGATTCACCAGTGGAGATGGTTACCAGCATCAAATTCCTGGGTGTGCAGTTAACCAGTAGGCTGGCTTGGTCACTCAACAGCGAGACATTGGTGAAGCAGGCACAGCAGCGCCTGCATTTTCTGCATCGCATGACAAAAGCACATCTTCCTTCTCCTATTCTCGCCACTTTCTATAAGGGGACGATTGAGAACATCCTGTCATACAGCATCTGGTTTGGAAGCAGACAGGAAGGTGGTGCAGAGAGTGGTGAGGATGGCCAAAAAGATCATTGGCAGTTCCCTCCCTCCCATCCAGGACATAGCACAGAAGCGTTGCTTGAGCAGGGTCCGTAAGATTATCTGGAACATTACACATCCACATCACGGCCTGTTTTCCTTGTTACATTCTGGGAGCGGGTTTCGTGATATCCGAAGCAGAACATCCAGATTCAGCCATAGTTTCATTCCATACAGCATTAACCTTGTGAACTCTCAAGCCTTCTCCTTCTGTTATATATTCATGATGGACAGTGTTTAATATTTATTTGTTATGTATATGTAGGGATGTGGCTCTATACATATGTTGTATATAGTATGTTTAGGTGTGTGTTATGCATGTGTTCACTTTGAGAGCGGGCAACTAAATTTCATTTTTGATGTGTGCCTTTGTGCCCACAGTAAAAATGTCAATAAAGGTTATCTAATCTCATCTTGTATCTTTTATCTTATCTTTCTGGATATATCATCACAATTACTTCATGATTTTTTTTAAGCTTCAATTATCTGCTTTATAAAATTATCATGTACCTCTAATGACTGATTTGGTGGTATGTATCAGACCCCTAGGAACATAGTACTTCTGTTAGTTTGCCATTTCAACTTGACATTTCAAATAATACTTGTTATTTGAATCTCTGTATCGATCTCTGTATAGGTAAGCTCATTTCTGGTTCATATGTGTTGCCTGTTCTTGTGAAATAAAGTTTACCTATCAAATCCAATGCTCTACTGGTGGAATTCATCTTACTATGTTTATAGAATCCTTTTTGTATTACACTTGCCTTTATGCCTCATGACTTCTAGCTCATCTTGCTTGTTTAAGCCATATTTTGTGTATTAGTGTGGAAACATTCAATATAGTATAATTGATTGGACTCAATCTCTTTTCTTTATATTTGTCTCATGTTTATTTTTTGCCAAACTAATTTTTATAAGATTTTACTTTGCTTCTGCATTCAGTGTATTGTGTGCCAATTCATTACTCCCTAATTATCTTACAAATCCCTATCAATGTGAAATCACCCATCTCTCTTCATAACATTCCTCTGACACCAGAGATGAGTCCATAGATAATTAGTTGAGTTTTCCAAGCACATATCTCAGATTGTATAGCAGTTGTTTGCAGAAAAAGAAGAATTTTGCTTTATTTCACTAAAATATAGATTTCAGAGTGTGGTGGAAAAATTCACATCTAAAGAAAAAAAATGACTAAAATGTTCCAGTTTCTTTATTAAACTAACAAAGAAATAGAGTAATCACTGCATTTCCAACAAACAAAACCAAGACCCAATTTCAATGCAATACAGATCTTATATTGTTTTACCACATTATGTCATATAGCATATTAAGAACAGGCTATTTGATTAATTGTTTTATAATCATCAGGATAAGGAAATCAAAGGAGTCATCTGGCACTTGGTTGCCCAGAGCAAAAAGGCAACAACACATTGGCATCAATTCATCAAAGGAGCAGATACCAAGTAAATTACACATAAAGTATGTATTAACTTATCAAAGATATGGAATGCCCCATCAATTATTCCTTTGTGTTGTAACAATGTGCCTCTCTTGTGCTATAAACATGGAACAGCCTGAATGGTTTTATTATTTATTCTTGAGTAAATTAATACATTTACTAACCTACATATCAAAAGTTCTGATGACCACTGAGAAGATGCTAAAATGTGAGTCTTGCTGGTGTCAGGAAGATTTGCTACTGTCACGGCAATCTAATTATTCTTATATATGAAGTTTATGTATGAAGCAAGGGAAGGATGCCACAGAGTAATCAGTTTATTTGGATTGCCAAACATTGCAGCTTTTCTTTTTTCTATGCAACTTAACAAATAGCCCTCAAATTAAATTTATTTCAGGCAAAACATATCTAGGAAATCCTAGCCTTTGCATTAATGCAACTGTTCAGATTTCATTGTCCCCAATCTGCATAATTTTCTTGTTGGAAAATAAAAACCTTTGTGACATCTATGCTTAACCATTCATGAAATGCCCCTGATCCACCAGTAGCCACAAAAGAAAGATACAGTGAAGTCCCTTGAACTTTCCCACCTGCATTGACACTTGGACTGCAATTGATTAATTGGCCTTTTTGGGAAAACAGTGTGCACCGGCAAATAAACACAAAACGGAATCCTCTCAAGATAAGGGAAATCTTTATTACAATACTGCACCCCTCAAAATGTCACACCTAGGAACATATCTACACATCTAAGACTGCATACCCTATAGAACAAGAAACAACATATCCTGGGGTAGGAACATCTCTACCCATCTAATATACTTAATATCAAAGTACATACTCCATGATCAAAGCCCATTAATACTGAAGTACTACCATGCTCAGCATTCTAACTTCATACCCTACTTTCAATTGCTATACTCCATGAAATGTCAAATAAAACTAACCTAATTTTCAAGCTGCTGCCCAGCATGTTTATTTGTGACCTGGCTGAACTTCGAACCCAGGATTTTCTTCCAATACTCTCATGACATGATAATATATACTGGGGATCAGCAGGGCTTATGTGATTATAGCAAACTTCTGGCAATATAACATTCCATGTGGCTGGGAAATTGTGGGGGTTGGTTCACACATCTTAAAGTTGTCAAAGTTGAGAAACACTGTGTTATGGAAACTTACATGTGAAACATCATTATTACACATAGAATCTATTATTGAATTATCATGGCAGATATCTTGATACTATCTTTGAAAGGGACAGGGTTATGAAATAAAAAGTAGTAGATGTGATCAATTTTTTATCTTATATCCTCAACAAGGGTTAGCTAAAACCTTAGAAAACTTCAGCAAACTTACCTATTTTACTGAATGCTTCTTTTAGTTCTTCCAGTTCCTCTCGAGAAATTGTTGTTATGTTATTTTCCATCTTGATTGCCAGGTTTTTATGTCTGAAAATAATCAACAAGACATATTTACAAAATACAATAAGGAAAGACATATTATTCAATTAACTTGAAATATTTTTGTGATCCATTAGAATTTATACTATTCTGAGCATTAGGTATATGTTTCTTTTTTCCAAATATAAGTTCCACATTATGCAAAAGTTACAGATTTTGGATTTATTTTTCACTAGACAAAAAGAGTTATATCAATAACAATTGGGCTTATTAATTTATGCTGACATAAGACAAGATTCTGCTTCCACCTGCATGAAAAGGGAAGTGTTCAATGGTATCAATGCAGCTTCATAATGACTAGAAATTATGGGATTGCAACCCACATTTATGGGCTGATACCCAATGCTGGAAGACTAAAGGGAGTAATTTGATGTACTGTATTTTGTGCATCCCAACAATACTGAGTAACTGAAAATATTATTCAAAATTTTGAGGAGAAAAAAAATAAAATGAATAAAATAAAGATGATCAACAAGCCTAAGGAACAATAGAGGACAAACAAATGTTTAATATTATGTTGCTGCTTGAATTTTTATTTGTGAGATTTTTTTTAAATTTGTATTGCTTATCTCTTGCTGTTATATGCTAAGTATGCACTTGCATGAACTTTTAGTAAGAGTTTTTAAAGCTGTGTTTACATATAAGCTGCTATTAAAATCATGAATTACAAGCAGGATGTATATTTTTTATACATATTACAAATGCTGTCTAAATAATGTGAACAACTCATGTCTTGATCTCTATATAGTTGGATTACTGCAACACATTCTATATGGGGCTGCCCTGGAGATAACCTGATCACTACACAAAGATGCAAAAACAAGATTTCTAGTGGGAAAACCCCACCGCTCAGAAAAATATCTACATTATGCATTGGTTACTAGTTGCAATTCAAAGTACTTATTGCCTTTGAAACCCTGCAGAATGCAACAACAGGTTTTACACAGACCTTGGTAGAAGAATACAATCTGCCTCCCAACTTAGTTTAGTCAATTACAGAAGGCCTCCCCCTCCTTGCAAGTTACATGGAATATATAGATGGCATGTCTTCTCAGTAGCAAACTCCACTTTATGGAACTTTCTGCAGAGGTTTGCCTGTCCCCTACCTCCATGAATGTTAAAAGCAAAGCAATAATTATTTTTCCAATGAGCTTTTGATCTGAGCTGATTGAAATGTTTTATCAGAAATTTTGTTGCTCTTTTTGTAACCTATTAACCTATATTGTTATTTGTATTCTATCTTATGCTGTTCACCATCCAGGTTCCTTTGGAATTGTGAAAGGCTATAAAAACCTCAAATTTATATAATTTGGTGCCGAAAACTACAGCAGCATATTTTAAAAAAGAATCTGGTAGTTAGCTTTAACAAGTTTTAGTAAAATATCTAAAAGTTTAGCAATTATTACACCTAAGTCAATTCCAAATTTTCTCTCCAATTATTATGAATATTTACTATTACCTTTTTTCCTTAAAATGATTTTGGCTAGATATTTGATAGAAAAAAATAGGACTATGAACTTTTTGCTCATTATAAATTTAGAGAAAATACTGGAGAGAAATATTGATGTACCCTTTTAGGAATGGTATGATTGTTTTCTTGTTGATTTTTATTGTGAGCCATTTAGAATTACTGTATGTAAGACAGGTAGTCATATACATTCTATAAATAAATTAATCAGTAGCAGCGGATATTTTCTTAATTGTTCCACATACTGAATTTTGGCACATACTGAACAAATGGGCCTATCAAATGGTATGGTATCAATAGTTTTAGCTGGTAGATACTCTGTATTATGTTATAATTATCAAAAGGTCACAATCCAATAAAGATTCGATAAATAAAACAATAAATTGGATTTGTGCAATTACATTTGTTCCTTGTTCTTTGGACTAAAATGATCTCTGGTTATAAACTGCATGTTAAGCGTGCTATAAATAGGTTTAGAGGAAAGGGAATGTTAGCATATCCAATTAGCCAAGGATAGAAATTACATCAAATAGCAAATAACAATAATAAAAATATTAAACACATTATAACATATAATTTTCAATTTAACTATTTAGCTGTCATACTTATTTTCATAGTAATATCGCTTGCTGTACATGAACATATTTTGATACAACTAACAGTGACTTGAAAGTATTGCATAGTACTGTAAGACCATGCAGTAATCCCACAACGTTTAATGTATATAAAAGAGTTGCAAATGTTAGCATTCCACTACTAATAATATCTCCCACTTGTATATATATTTTTCTGTTCTTTGCTATTTTAAATTCTCACAATTTGAATACTAGTAACATGGCTGGATTACATAAAATATACTTTAAGATGGCACAATCTCTATAATTTTGCTATATCAAGCCCAGAAGCATCCATTTTTAAATTATAGTATAAAGATCAGATAAAATTACTATTCCCCTGTTGCTTGCTTTAATGTGTCAGCATATATTACAATTTACAATGTTAATGGATTCTAAATTCTTTCTCCACACCCAAACCACTGTGTCAGAATTATCTTCTCTCTTCTATAGCTTGAAGGTTAAAGATGCAGAGCATGGCAATGTTCCCTATAGTTTGACTCTGGTTGTTTCACCCTTAATATCAGAAAATATCATATATGTGTTATATGCAATTACTATTCAAAGCTTTTAGTGTAAGTGTAGCCTATAGTATGAATTATATTTATGTAACACTTATTTTTAGAACGTCAGAGTACATTTTCCCGATCTCTTCTTTTTTCTGCTTAATCCTCTTAATTATCGTCTTAAGTCAAATAGTTCATTAGTTAAAATTTTCTAGTGGACCTCCCAGCAGAGCTCAAGATGTTCTACTGTAATGAGATCCACTTCCACAAAGGAGGTGAGGTAGATCTGTACAAGAGAGAAAGTTTTTTGTGTGGTGATTCCCATTTACAGAATTTCTTTTCAAGAGAGGCTCAAGTGGCTCATTAGCATTTTGGTACCTGGTGAAAACCTTTCTATTTTCCCAGGTTTTTTAATTGGCTTTTAATTAGTTTTTAATTTGCATTATTGTATTAATTATTTTGTAATTTGTATTAATTAATGTATTAATTTGTATTGGTTTAGATTTGGAATGACTGTATTATTGCTGCCTTGTGTATATTATGCTTTCATTTTGCATTTTGTTTTATGTTATTGTATTTGTACAATTTAGGAATTTGACAGCCAGACACTCATTGACTAAACCATGGTATTCCAATGAGCTTTAGGGGTATCTACAGTAATGGCCAACATTCCAGCAATTATGATGACTAGTGATGTATAAGAGACTCCTGCCTGTAGACACATCTTGTTTTTGTTGACACATCTGATCAAATACCAATGAAAATTAAAAACTCAAAATTTATTCTTTTTATGTGGATTTTCTCGGGTATCTATGTCATAGTACAACTACAGCTATGGCATAGCAAGGGAGATTCTATTATTTTTTCCCCAACTATTTGAGGAAGGATGAAAATAAAATTTAAAAAAAAGATAAGTTCCTAAATCAGTGCCATTTTGCAGGGTTCTTCTTATTGTAGATCAGTGATGGCGAACCTTTTAGAGACCTGAGTGCCCAAACTGCAACCCAAAATCTACTTATGCATTGTCGAGTGCCGGGTGGGCGTGGCCCATTGGCTGGCCGTGGTTGCAGTGGTACTGGCAGACTGGATGGGACTAAAAAGTTCAATCAATCAATTCCAATTGTGCAAGAACTTTTTTTTTCTCGCGAGAAGTTGAAATTGACTGATTGATTGAACCTTTTTTTTTTGCACACGGCGGCGGAGGCCTAAAGCGAAAAGGTTTATAAAACTCAGCTGAAAGCTTAGGATTGGGGTGATGGTGCGCGTGCCCACAGAGAGGGCTCTGAGTGCCGCCTCTGGCACCCGTGCCATAGGTTCGCCACCACTGTTGTAGATCATGCTTTGTGGCAATAGAAAAAGAATAACACTCTTTTTTTCCTTGTTGACTTCACACTGTCAGCTGATATATGTTAGGTTAATTTCAAAGTATCCTGTGCTGTTTTGAACTAAAATTAATCCCACCTAGAATACAAGATGACTGAAATTCTATTCACACCACCTGTGTCGTATGCAAAGAACAGAATTTATCAATTGTCACTGTATCGTTATAAGCATCACATTGTTTACTAAAAAAAATTGCCATGACTTATAAATTGGAATTAATGGCCCTGTTTGCATGTCAGAAAATGACCCAGCAATCCCTTCCCCCAGGCAATTCATTACCTTGTACCTTGTTACAGCAAATAATACGGATTACCGGGTGTGTTTGAGATTATATCTAATTTCCTCTGGATTAATTGGCTAGGTTTTAGAGTCTGTGTATATTTCCTTCCCCATGACCTAGTTAAATATGTCATGCAAACAGAGGAAATAAGTCGAATAAAACATAGATAGAAAATTTACTTATTTCTAAATAAGATTAGGTCTTGTTATTTAATTTTATTTTATTTAAGTACAAGATTAAAATGCATGCACTCATTTCACTTATAGTTTATAAAACTCATTTGCTCTCATTTCATTTTAAAAATGCAAGGTATTTTTCTGCATTCTGCATTCCCATGAAGTGACAACTTCATGAAACTAAAATACAGAAAATAAAAAAATTCCATATACAAATGAGGGCTACACTTATTTTTATCTACTGTGTATCTACTTTGTGAATCTGATTATTCACAATCACTTTGCCAATCCAACTTTTTTAATTTTATTCCTCTCCAATCTAACAGATTAGAAATCCACACATAATCATGCCTATCCAACTATCTATGCTTCTGATTCCACAAAGCATGTATCTGATTACATAGACTGTGGCCTACAAAAGCACATACCATAATCAAATAGTTAAGCCTCTCTAAATTTCATTGTTGGGTTTGATGTAATAAACTATCATTTTATAAATTTTTAAGAGCCGTGGTGGTGCAGTGGTTAGAATGCAGTATTATAGGCTAACTCTACCCACTG